TTAAAAGAGCACGGCAGCTGAATATCAGAAAACTGGTGGTGGAAGGTGATTCGAGCCTGGTTATTAGGTGGTTGCAGAAGGAAGACTTCAGTTTGTGGAAATACCTAAATGAGAAAAAGAGAATTAAACATTTGATTCAAAACATGGAAGTTCAGTTTCAGTGGACTTTGGCTAAGCAAGGGGTGGGAAGAGCTATTCTTTTCTGGGCAACTTTGTAATCTGAAGTAAACTTTTGGGAGGGTTAAGGGATTTTACCCCTCCCTCCTGTTGTATCCTAACAAAACAGAATTCATGCAGCCAACCCCATATAGTTGGGACAAGGCTTCAATGATGATAATAATGATAATGATGATCTAGAAATATAATAATGATATGAAATTAGGCAGGCATGAGTTAAAATAATCAAACTCACAAAAGAAAATGGGAGATGTAGAACAATGTTCAATATGCATACCTGTTGAACCCAGTACAAACCAATATCAAACAAATTCTGCTCCATTAAGAACTGGCCTACAGCATGCAGAACCTCATTTGCAATCTCGTTAGAGAGTTGATCCACTACAGGGCCTGATATTTCCATCAGTTTCACAAGCAAGAGATCATCCCCTGTGGACAGAACTTCAGCATATGCTGAATCCATATCTCCCATGTAAAGTGCATCCATAGCATTATTCCAAGAAGCCCAGTTTGGCCCCCGTTCCTGCCCCATGTTCTCATCTCCTAAAGCTTCAGCTGTTAATTCTGGTATAGCAACTCTTGTTGCAGTTCGTGATATTCCATTGTCTTCCCCAGCCACACGAATTGCTTCCAGAGTAGCTTCATCTTTTGAAGCTTGCCAGACACTTCTTGCAGAGGGCCCCTCGCCTAGCCTAACAGGTCCTTGTCCCTTATCCCAAGCTCTTCTGTTACTAATCTGATCACTATCATGTTCTTCCCTAGGTGATCTGCCATCACCACCAAGAGCTCTTCTAGAGCTAATATGCCCATTTCTTGAAGAGCCATATGCATAAGAATCCCATGCTTCAGATGCATCAGATCTCCAAGGTGGGTCCCTTCCCCTCATTCCTGAAATATTAACATCAGAGGAAAGGAACCTATCTGCAAATGGGATACGTCCATCACTACCCCTACCCAACTTGCTACTATAGTCAGAGAGCCCATTATACTTGCCTAAAGGCCTCATGGAAGATCCCTCATAACCAACCATAAAATTACTACCTCTCCTACCTGATGACACTGCCAGATCCCGTATCATATCTTCAACAATTCTCTCAAGACCCCGCACTCTATTCTCTAGAGTAACCATGCTGTCATGGGACCCACCCATGAAGTCCTACAATGTGAAACATTTTAGTAAAAACCAGTTTAAAAAGCATTTTCTAAATGAAACTTAACTAACTAACCTGTAACATGTTCATGAGATGAGCTTGTTGCCTCTCCAGTTGTGTTAACTGTCTTTGGATAGCTAACCAATTTCCTTTGTTATTTATGAAAGATCCTTCAGAATAACCATCAGCTCTAGGGAAACCCACACGGGCACCCGAACTGTCCCTTTGATTAATTCCACTTCTATCATCAGCATCAAAACCTCTTGTTTTCAAGTCCTTCCCCCTAACAACTCTTTGTTCAGTCCATTTATCCCGGGCAACATCGTCAAAGTCTTGTTGTTTATTAGACATGCCAATAGTTCCTCTTTCCAGGTATTGGTATTTAAAATTCCCAGATCCATGAACAGCATCCGACTCAGGGTTCCCATGGTGATTTGATCTGCCTCTAGAATCTGTATCATTTGGCTCTGATTCTTCCCCATCTTGTGAATTTGCAGAATTAAGACATCTACGTGGAACCACCACTTCCACAGGCAAATCACCTGAGCCCCTTGTTTCGAGCTTCTGGAAGAATTCCGGGTTCAATTCTTTGTCAGTTAGTGCAGGAGCTTTCTTCTTTAGTATACCAACTGCTTTGTCTGAGATATTACTACCCTTAACTTTGGAAAGGGAATTGGAAGAAGGTGGAGAGCCAATAGATGTCTCCTTTGCTGAAGATTCCTCTGTTCTCTCACTAGGATTTGTCTTGTTTGGTTCCAATTTTTCTGCCAACTTAGTTGTTTCTGAACTTTTGACATCTGGAGTATTGATAAAAATTAAATTAACAAGAGAGAAAGATAGAGAGAGGAGAAAACTATAGGATCTTATATGAGAATAAAGTATTATTTCTTTACTTACCATGAGAAATGGCTTTTGGTTCATCCTGAACTCCTCCATCAGCTGCTTTCCCTGCAATGTTCTTCCATAGCTGAAGTGCCTCTGTCATGCTATCTCTAACAGGTTTCACCTGAAAGCAGGAATCATCTCTTATAATTTTACTCTGAAACTAGGTATATGAATTTATTCTACATGTACCAACTGCCCCAGAAGTTAATATGAACTCTCTAATTTTTAAGATTTTATGTTTTGAAGGCTAGTATTTTCTTGTCAGAAATATAGATCACTGGTGTAACTTGTAAGGTGTTAGAAAGAATTCATTTTCCTTTCCTTCAGTCAAGGCATTACACATACCAAAGGGGAGAAAGGCTCATATTTGAACACTAGGATCAATAAACCTGACTAACTTCTTTCCCAATAAACCCCCTTGATTGGAGCAATGAAATAGTGTGCCCATGTGCCAACAAGGAAGTCTAGAAGCTTTATCCCATCTTCTATTCTTTAAGTGAGTAATCGTGGGATGTCATGTGAGTTAACAATAGAAAGAAAGTGGTTAGATGGTTCATATTTTGGCAATTACTAAATCCCTAATGTGCACAGGGTGTCTGCAGACATTCTAGTTTAAAATATTAGAAGTGTAAAGTTTTACAATATGAATTAAAGCACTTTTAATCAGAACTTATAAGGTATACATCCCTATAAGCATAATGCATCTTACTACTGCAAATATTAAACAAAAGAAGATTTTGAGTTGCATAATGTAGTCATTGAAGCCGATTAGGTAAAACAGATGGAATAGGGTACTTTATCAAAGCGGCATGCCTCCAGTGCAGCTATTATGGAAGTGGTGCCATCTGCAACCAAATGACCTGAATGAGATGCCAAGGCAGTTAATGTCTCTGCCGCAGCTTTACGTGTTGCCCAGTCTGTACTCTCAAGGCAGTCATTAATGTTTTGAAGCAATACTGGTAAGCTTTGAGGTGCAAGTGCTCCGACCTGTAATACATGTTATAGGTTAGCTCATTCTGCATTCAATTAGGGTGTTATCATTTGCCTGCTATATATTTGTAGCTATCACCGGAAGTGCCTTAACAAACCATTATCAAACACCCTGGGTGAATACCATATAATACATGTGCAAATAGAAAAACCATTATAAAAACAAATAGTAAAATCAAGGAAAAAATGAATAATCCTACTCGTTTCATTCAAATACATCTCATCAAAAATCTTCTTAAAACATGAGTTTACTAGCAAATGATGCAAACATCTATTTAATATGCCTTAATTTATTGAATCATGTTCTACAGCCTTCTCAAAACAAAAAATTTTCTTTGAGGCCACAAAAGGCGCAAGGTTGATTCTTCTCGGATCACCAAACTATTTTGTTATCGTTTTTAGAAACTGGATCAAGAAAAAATGGATATGACTGGTTCATGACGCTTAAAGGCTAACACATTTCAATCCAATCTTAAACAATAGATAGAAAAAAAAATTGCAGAAGAGTTGAGTTTCATGCACAAAGTAAATTGATAACCAACATTGACCAAACCTGAGAAAGACTTGCGACAACAGGCAAGAGCGCGGCCTTGGCGAGGAAGTTCTGACTGTTAAGGTATTTGCAGATCTTGGGGCAGAGCTTCTGGAAGGCGGCAACCGGCGGGTCTGTGGCACACTCCACCATCCTGGCCATACACATTGCTGACCCAGCCTGGACCACCTTGTTCTGCTCATTCATTGCCTCAAACAAAGGCTTCACGAACAATGAGACAACCGACCCAAGATTCGCACAATCGCCACTGCCTTGAAGGTACTGCGACGATAGCACCCCGATGGCATCGCGACAAGAATCCCGAACGCCAGAATCGGAGTCCTTGAGCCTCCTTACAATGTGGGCAATGGTTTTGGTGAGATGGGTCGATGTGGAATCGGCGTGAGAGGTGCAGAGGAAACCAAGAAGGCGTAGTGCTTCCTTCTTGACGGCGGGTTTGGGGTCATTGGAAGCGTCGTAGAGGCAATTGAGGAGCATGGAGACACCGTCAGGAGAAAGGGTTTGGATAATTTTTTCGAGCTCTTCGACAGCGATCTGGTGGGTGTCTCGGTCGGAGAGCTTAGAAAGGGAGTTGAGGATTCGCTGCTTGAGCTCAATCATGGCGAAGTGGGAGGAAAGAGAAGAGGAGGATCTCGAAGCCGATGAAGCTGTAATTGATGATGGTGATGATGCTGATGTCGTCGAAGTGTTTGGAGGTTTTGAGGATTTTGACGGTTTAGAAGCTTGCGAACTCATTGTTGCTTTTGCAGAGAGCAAAATACAGCAAAAGTTGCTGCTTTACTTATCTGGGAGAGAGAGAGAGAGAGAGCAAATCCGGATGCTTATGCCCGAGAGAGACAGAGAAAGAGAGAAAGAGGAGGGAGAGAGATAGTGTAAGTACTAAGGTTTCTAATGGCTACTCAGTACCAAACATGAAAGGAAATGAGACCCACTACGAGATCTGACGATTAGAGAAACAGAGAGAGAGAAAGAGAGAGGGCGGGGAGAAGAAGCAAGGTATTTGAAGGTAAACTCATTTTAAAATGTTTGATTAGATCTGCAATTAAGCTTTAATGGAGTAGGTAAGTAGCTATTAAGTACTGGCCTCACCGCACAAACAAAACGGCTCCGGGTTTGGACCTCAAAGGCTCAAACAGTTGAATGAAATTTACAGTGAGGAGTCAATTGAATCAACACACCAACGTCCAGCGGCAGTGATAATGAGTGGGGGGAGATGCTGAGATTTGGATTTATCGAGGAAGGGTGTCTTTACGATATAGAAAGTCATGGAGGGACTACGGTATGACCTTCTTAACATTGGCTCTTGTGATTCTTGGTTGTCTGCGTTGCTGAATTCTTTCTTGGTTTGTTATACTTGATACTTGGCTCTGGAATCCAAGGTAGGGACTTTGGTGGAGACTTGACTACTGCACTCCTGCCTACTGCAGTGATTTATTCAGGTGTGCATGTGGCCAATGTACCAAATAATCGGATGTCTTGGGTCGGGTTAGCCCGAACCCAATTCGACAAAAGTTGGATTGACACTTGAGTTAGGGTTAGGGTTGAATTTTGCCAATCTGAACTCAATTCTACAATTGCACATGTACATATGTATTATAGTTTCGGTACATATAATCATATCAATTTGTATTAGCTCCTAAGTCCTAACCTTAACCCTAACCCCACTGACATTGACATTAGCAATTTTAGATTGACATTATACCTTAAGTTTATGTTTTATTATTATTAATTTCATGATTTTAGATTTTCAATAGAAGATCTATTGTAATTTAAAATAGATTATGATCATTTGAAAGTTTTTCCTGCTTTTCACTTTTCTACTAAAAAAACTAATAAAAACATGAAACAAGCAAAAATCAATAGAATAATCGGTATATTATTATAAAAGCTCAATGTAGATATCTTACTCCAAGATTAAGAGAATTTGAGGCATCTTATGAGATTTTAAAACATTTGATTGTGTTGGATTGGGTTAGGGTTGAGGGATTTTAGGTTGGGTTAGAGTTTAGGGTCGACTAGGTTGGAGGTTCAGAACCTAGGATTGGGCTAACAGGCTAAGGTTGACCTCAACCTGCCCTAACCTTGTTCAACTTACACCCTTAGTCTTATGGTGATAACTTCAATGGGATGTAAATGGGTTGGGTTAAATGGTAAACCTGCCTTGACCCGACCCTTTTAGGTTGGGTTTGGCTTGACTTTAATTGGATTTAGGCCATATTTGGGAGTATTTAAAAATAGGTGTTTATTCGAAATAAGTGCTTATTTGGATTGGGACTATACCATTAAAGACTTTTTGGTGTTTGGAAAAGCTCGAAATAAGTACTTATTTTAAAAATAAGGGCGTCTTTTTTAAGCCCAAATTTCTTGCTTTTTTAAGTGCTTATATAATAAACACTTGTTCAATTTTTTCTTCCAAAATTATCCCTAGTTGAATTTTATAAAAGTGTTTTTATAAAAGTGCTTTCATAAGAGTACTTCCATAAAAGTGCTTTTATAAAAGTGCTTTTATAATAAACCTTTTTATGGGTCGAGTAGCCTGACAGGCTGGCCCGATCAATTCTAAGTTGGGTTTGGACATGGTTTTAGGCGTATAGGCTTGGGCTCGGTCTTTCTCAAAAAAACCTGAGCCTGAGCCCGACTTGATAATATATATTACATAAAAAAAATATTTAATAAAAAATATATATACGGTATTTTTCTTGTTCCTCTTCTCTTTTTTCAAGTAATAGTGAGATATTTTATTATTTTTGAGTTTTGAGGATTTTTAATATAAATAAAACACTATTTTATTGAATACAAAAGAAAAAAAATTCTATTTCCAGGCTTCGGGCTTTATATGAGGGCCAGGCTTGGGCTCAAGACCTAGGCCCGATGGTCAGGCTGAGCTTGGGCTCGGGCCTAAATGTTTTTTTGTTGACACAGACAATGCCCGACCCGACCCATGAACATGTCTATTTCATAAAAGTGCTTTCATGTAAAAGTACTATCCATAAAATTACTTTTATAAAAGTGTTTTGGTAAAAGTACTTTCATAAAAATATTTTCGTAAAAGTACTTTCATAAAAGTATTTTTATAAAAGTAATTTAATAAGAATACTTTTATAAGGGCATATTTTGAAAAAAAAATGAATGACAAAATAGTCACAAATACTTATTTAAATTTGGAGAAAAAAGCTATCAAACATCTAATAGCACTTGAAAAAATTGAATGCCAAATTTAAATAAATGATTATTTGAATAAACAGTTATTTTTAACATAAGCACTAAACATGGCCTTGGGATTAGGTTCTTGTTGAGGAAAACTTGTACCGAATCCAACCTATATATTGATATCCCTGCTGAGTCAAGTTCAGTTTTTCTTTCCATCTTGTTTTAAATGTTGTGATTTTTTTTGAAGCCCGTGGGCAGATGTTGTGATGTTGTTTATTTAATTTTAAGAGATGGAGATATTTGGCAATGTTGTATTATATAACTTGGTTATTTTTAAAAGACATGACTGAAGATATTCTGTGATATTGTGTCATGTAGTCGTGATATATTTATCACGAAACTTTCATGGATCATTATGTGGTGTATGTGGTGTAATAATGGTGTAAAATCTCATACTGATAAACATGAGAGCGTGGGTTCAAGTCTCAGGACAGCCACTGTGCAAACAGTAGGACTGTACTCAGTCTATCCCTGCCAAGACCCCAGTGAGGTGGGGCCAATATTGGGTAATGGTCTTTTTGGCCTTTTTATGAATACACAAGGCAAATTTATATTAAACAAAAAACTATTTTACATTCCTATGGCTCAATTTGAAAGGAGTACCAATGCAAATATGTAGAGTGTTAAAACCTTGGATTTTGTATTATCTTGTATGTATTCATATTGTACATAATTGTATTTATACTCTTTCCAAACAGAACCTATATTTCACTAGCCCCTATTTAGTTGTTCTACTATCGGTTGGTCAAAGAAGTTTGCAGCTTGGTTATTAGCCTTTAGTAAGTCTTGATAATACTTCATCTAGAATCAAACAATTCAATGCCCTTTTAATGATTCATTGGTGTTTTACTGATTTTGTCCTCAAAATGCTATTAATGATTGTCAACAAATCTCCTTCTAATCATACCTTCAAACCCTCTGATTGCAACAATACAGATGATCTCTTTTTAGCCAAAACTTCACCCCTCAGGTTCAGATTTTTGGTATCTGGGCTTTGAAAATGATAGATCTTGAAAGATAAAATAGGCTGCTATCATTATTTACTCAAGTAAAGGAAAAGAAAGGGATTTGATGCATTTAATGATGACTCATTCTTATCCATCATATGCCCCACTCCTATGTGTGCGGATGTTGGGGAGGAATCTCTCTCATAAGGCTAAGCTTGGAAGGAATACAAATACAAATATATAGAGTATAAAATCCTGTATTTTATATTATTTTGCATGTATTTGTATTGTACATATTTGTATTTGTATTCCTTCCAAACTGAGCCTAAACTAATATATTTTTGTCTCTGGTTGGTCGTAGTGGAGACTTAGACTTTAGATCGAATCTCACCTTCTCCTAGGCTAGGGAGTTTATCTCATGGGTTTGGGAGATGGGTTACCCTGTTGAGTAGCTCCATGAGACCAATAAAAACTAATATATTTTTGTTTGCAGCATGAACAATTTCCTATTAACAAGAGAACTAGTGAATTTTGTAGCCCTATGAAGCATCTAGGCATAGGCTGGATTTTAGAATTGTTTGGTTCACAGTTGGAACTTAATCAAAATCAGAATCAAAATTTGTTGGAATCAGAATTGGAATGGTCTATTTCTATTGTTTGATTTATATAGGAATATAATTGGAATGACAATTGAAATCAGCTAGAATGAGATTTCATTCCCAAAGGAGGGGGAAGAAATAATCATCTATACTATATATAAAAGTGTGAATGTAGTGAAACTGTTTTTGGACTAAAATTACCCTCTATTTTTTTTGTTTGAGAAAGGGTGTAAAAGTCATTTTATTATATATTTAATGTCAGCTTTAATGGCTACTATAATGGCCATATTTGTGTATTTAGTCAATCTCTAATTATAAGGGTTAAAAGTATAACTTCAATTATTACTTTCCACCTTATTTAATCATCTCTAATTAAGTCTTATACTTAAAGGTATTAACTCCTATTTTCTCTTATTAAATCCCATATTTAAGTTATTTTCACCAATAAATAGTACTAATTAGATCTATGTCAATATTTTTAACAATATAAACTCATATATTTTAAAACTGTCTAAAAAAACAAAAACATTCTTTATCTAAGTAATAAAATTTTTAAAATAGAAATAAATATAGAAAATTACAAAAATTAGACACATTTAATTATGATACTTTTATTAATAAAATTAAAAAAAAAGTGTAATAAAAAGAATAACTTTATTGATATTGAAAATGAAATACATATATTTTAGAACTAACAAAAAATGAAATTACTTTACTATTTGACAAAGATCAATAATCAAATGTATTAACATTTAATGTCATAAATTAATAAAAAATTAATAAAATATAAGAATACAAAAAACGAAAAAAATACATAAATATTGCAAAATACATTCAAGCACATGTATAATATTAATTAATTATCATATTAAACAAAAAGTAACTGTGACATATCATAATTATTTTTACATAAAAATATAAAAAATTGAACACATATATAGTTCTATATTTACCCTGCTATTAAAAATATAAATAAGATTATGGAACTTTCTTTTAACTAAAATACTCATTTTTGAATTTAGTCTCTATTTAATTGTGAGGTTTAAATTGTAAATTAAACTACTACTTTTCACCTCATTCAATTCCCTTTATTTAAATCTTACATTTTTGATAAATGAATAGGAAAAAACACCAAAAAGATAAAGTATTATAAATAGAAGAATCTAACCAAGTAGGTAGACCTCTTAATGATATTTCAAACTTTACAACTCAATCTGATTATCACATATTTAGATGAGGTGTTTATGTAATCAGATTTGGATTTTACAATATGCATTTGATTAATAATAAAAGCAAAAAGTATATAAAAACAAAAAAAAATGTATTTATAAAAATTTTTGGATACATTATTATTATGATTATCATCATCTAGAATTACCATGTGTAAATTACGTACACTTACTAATTCCCTTAAATGGAAGAATACCATTTCCACCAGGAATGGGAATGAAATTCTAATTCCACCCAACCAAATAGTTAAAATCAGAATAGCCCATTCTAATTCCAAGTCCA